GCGTACCGGGGTTTCCCCTGTGGGCAGTTTCCCGATCCATCCCCCTTGCCCTATGCGATCCAGTCGAATTTGACCGTGACCGCTTGCTCGGGGTAGGGCTGGGATGCAAATCCAATCTATCTACAATGTTATGCTCCCTAGGGCTCTCAAATCCTGAAAGTCCTGGGGGAGGGGACATGTTCCTCATGGTCGGGTTTACCGACGGCCTTGGCCTGACGTTACGGCCGGCCACATCAGGATTGAGATTCTCAATCGACAAAGGTAGCATGAATTCATCGCTTCCAGCAGCCCGTTTTGGGCTTTGGAATTGCGGGAAAGATGACGGGACGGGTGGCCCTGGCATCCATGCGGCGAAATCCATGCCAAAAATGTTTCCGTCGTTAGGCCATGAGGCTCTCCAATCTAGCCCACCGGATTCGGTCGGCAGATGAACATCAAATGCAACTCCACTGGGTCTACCAGATTCGGGATTACCGAGCACTTGGAAAGCTATGCTACTGGTTGGCACAGGTCTACTGCTGCCTCGGGAGTCACGAACCTCGGACTGACCAATATTCATCAGCTCGGGGAAAGATGAGGATTGAGCTCCAGGTGCAATACCGGGCTCGTCATCATCACGTCCTGAGACGGAATCATCATGGTCAGGACGATTAGTCCCACGACCCTGAGAGCGATTAGCTCCTGAGGCATTAGACGATAGATCATCAGTGCGAGTAGCACTGGATCTCTCTGAAGGCATTGCTTCGAAAAAAGTAGGATCCTGACCGGAAAACATCGGCTGTCCGGGCACTTGGTCGTCATTCACAACGTCCAAGATTCCGGCCTGGCCGAGAATCCATTCATCGGTCACCACATGAGGTCCATCCTCAGTGATTCCCGCCATGACGCCTACAGAAACCTACAGTACCTGCAGGGTTGTTATTAAAAGGGGTTCGCGGTGCCAACCGAGGACGAATCCTACGGCTGATAACCTGCGAAAGGGTTTGAAACAGAGTTTCGGGATGGATAAAACAGGCCCTAACCCACCAACAAGAAGAGACCACCTTATCCCCCCCGGTCCCAAGGGCAAAGCAGTTGCCCCCGGCCGGCACAAACACGAACCAAAAGGGGTGCCTCGTTTGTAACAAGAATAAACCAAGCAGAAGCACAGCACAGCGCAGAGCAAGCAAGCAAACCAGCGGCAAGCAGCACCAAGCGAGCAGAGCGAGCAATGGCAGCGCGCTCCAACCAAAACCCGACCCACCTCCGGGTCCAAGACCAACACGAGCTTCACGAATTTGTCGGACAGCAGGGTGAAGACGGAGATGGCAGAGGCCGACGTGGCAGAGCTCCAGCAGCTGTTCGACTCCGTGGAGGCCAAGCAGTACAAGCCGGACATGAACGGGGACCTGAGGCTGGGCTTCGCCTCAAACGACTTCGCAGGAACGAAGTGGAAGAACCTGACAGGCACCGCGAGGTGGAGCGACGGCACGGAGATGGTCACCCTCAACTACTCTCACCTCACCAGCGTGCTCTGGGGGGTGTGCAAGGGCTTCCAGGCCCGGCTGGACGAGGTGGAAGCCTGGCAGGCTCCACGTCGCCCTCGTTCTCAAACCAGCAAGCTCAGCCCGCCGTGAGCGCGTGGCCGGGGTGCGAAGAGCCGTAGAGACGTCACGCACATCATCCCAGACTTCACGCACGTTCCAGAGCTTGTCCTCGAGGCGTTCGACTTTCGCCTCCGAGTCGTCCAGCAGCTCATTGAGGAGCTCGATGAGCAGCGCATCCTCGCGAGGCCGCTTGGTGGGAGGCCGCTGGGCCATCAGAGCAGCCGCAAGGCAGGGAGCGTCCTCGTCCGCCCACGCGGCGGGCTTCTCCAGGAGCCATGCCTGCACGCATCGGAAGGCCTTGGAGGAAGTCATCTTGAGCAGCTGCGGCGGGTTTTTTTTGAGACCATTCGAGCATTTGGGACCATTCGAGCATTTGGCGGGCTTTTTTCTTTGCGCGAGTCCAAGCTCATCAGAGCGTTCGCCTGCGAAGATTTCTGTTCTCTTCCTCGAGGATCTCGACGCGGCGCTCCAGCGCCTCACGGTGCCAAGTCTCACGGTTGACCTCCCCCTCAAGCAGATAAGCGTGCTCCTGCACCATCTGCAGTTGTGCTAGATCTCGCTCGCCGAGATCGTAGCTGCGCTCCAGCTGCCTGCGGAGAATGTCGATGCTGCGCTCCAGCTCCCCAACGCGCTCTTCCGCCCTCACCGCTCGCGCGCGCTCTTGCGCGATGATCCCGTTGCGGTAGCCCAGCTGCCAGCGAAGATTTCTGTTCTCGAAGTTCCGCTCCTCGCAGCGCTGCTCTTCACAGTGGACGTTCTCATACAAATGCTCGATGAGACGCCGGTGGTACAGACGCTCGGCCTCGAGCAGCGCGTCCTCGCGAGGCCTCGCGGGAGGCCGCTGGGCCATCAGAGCGGCCGCGAGGCTGGGAGTGTCCTCGCCCACCCACGCAGCGGGCTTCTCCAGAAGCCATGCCTGCACGCATCGGAAGGCCGCCGAGGAAGTCATCTTGAGCAGCTGCGGCGGATCGAAATAAGCATTATCGAGAAAGCGAGAAAACGAGAGCTCGGGATCTTTTTTTAGCGCGTCCTCAAGCTCATCAGCGCGCTCGCTCGAGGATCTCGCCGAGGCGCTCCACCCGCTGGCGGAGAATTCTGTTCGGCACAGAGTTTCATCGAGGAGCTCCTCATCGAGCTGCGCGATGAGATGCCGCTGGTGCGAGCGCTCGGCCTCAAGCAGCGCATCCTCGCGAGGCCGCTCGTAGGGAGGCCGCTGGGCCATCAGAGCAGCCGCAAGGCAGGGAGCGTCCTTGTCCGCCCACGCGGCGGGCTTCTCCAGAAGCCATGCCTGCACGCATCGGAAGGCCGCTGAGGAAGTCATCTTGAGCAGCTGCGGCGGATCGAATAAGCATTATCGAGAAAGCGAGAAAGCGAGAAGGCGAAGAAACCAGAAAGGGCTCGGGATCTTTTTTTTCCGGTTCCGACAGTCTACGCCCAGCAGCGGCTCAGCCGCGGCAGTGTCGGAGCGGGCCCCAGAGGCGGGGGCCCCACGAGGAACTCCATCACGAGGTCGAAGGGCGCGGAGCCTGGCGGAGCGTAAGCGCCCAGCATCCGCAGCTGCTCCAGGTTGCGCCAGTGTCCCAGCGGGCGCGAGTTGTGAGCGTCGAGGCCGTAGACCTTGTCGTTGAAGGGCGAGAGCGACTTCTTCTCGACGGTCTCCACGGCGATCTCGTGCGCGCGGCTGCGCAGCTGCGCGAAGGCCGCCCTGCGCTCGCTGCCTTCCTCCAGCACCTCCCGGTACTCGAGATGCCGGACGTTGGTCACCGCCTTCTTCGGCACGCCCTTGATCTTGCGCTTCTCCTTGCGCGCGCCGCCGTGAGGATGCTGTACATCTTGGAGCGCAGGCCCACGTACTCCAGGATCCTGGCAGGGAAGGTCTCGTCGCCGAGCTTGCCCAGCTGGCCCACCTCTGCGCTCACCGCCTTCCCAGCCAGCACGCTGTCGTAGCAGTGCTGCTCCCACACCGCGGGCATCTCCCACGCCTCGGCGCCGCAGAAGTGCTCGAAGGGCATGGGCAGCTTGCGCAGGATGCAGTCCCACGCCTGCTCCAGGTCGCAGTGCGTCCGCCGCTGTTTGAGAGGCCGTCTTTGGGGCGGAGAGGGGTGAAGCGAGGCCATCAGCGGGAAGAGCTCCGGCAGCTGCTTGTGGGTGCAGGCCCTGAGGTCGTCGATCATGCTGGCCAGGCTCGTGGGGAAGACGTTCATGCTGTCCCGCACCAGGGACAGCGGCCGCGCGAACACGAGGCCGATGTCGAGGCGCGCCGCGGCTCTTTCCGACGAGATGGCGAGCGAGGCTGCCGAGTGAAAAGCTTGAGCCAAACGGCGCATTGGCCGTGGCGTTGAGATATGTTGCGATAAAACTACATGCCCCCAAAAACAAAATAGAATAAAAAGAAACACGGCGTAAGATCGACGCGTGTGAAAACTTCGGTGCAAATGTCCCCAACCAGAACTCCGATCTGAGATCCCACGGAGCCGAAGTCCCGGGAGTTCGGCGACTTCCACAACTAGGATTTCCCCTGTAAGGAAATCGTCTGTATATATAAGTATCTTTGACACGCCTGCATCATTCGTCCAGGATTGCACCACAGGCATTCCCAGGAATTGGGTTTCCAAAAGGTGGACCGATGTGCTTGAACATAGCTGTCAAGATCAGCTGAACATATTTCCGCCTGTCATCAAAAAGCTCCGACAAGGGGAACAGTAAGAAGCACAGTATTGAACGAAACCCATCCATCTATTCATCGGTGGATCGATGTGGAAATCGATGGAGTTCGATTGCTTCTGCAATCTAAAGCTGTTCGGCCTGCCTCAAGGGTCTGGGAGTCACTGGTGGCCGCGGGTGACGGAAGGAGTCCAAGGAAGGAAGCCTGCATTCAGCAACTTCGGTGCATCGAACTCTGCCCTTTCCCTTGCCTTCTGACTGGCGCGCTAGGAAACCACCTGACCAGCGAAACGCAAGAGACGCAAGAGACGCAAGAGACGCAAGAGACGCAAGAGACGCAAGAGACGCAAGACAAAAGCGAAAGCCAATGTTTCACTTGGGCCTGGTGAGGCTTCTGGCCACGCGCTGCCAGAGCCTGCGCAGCGCTCGCTTCCAGCCCGGCGGCTCGATTCCAAACAGGGCGGCCATGCGTTGGCTCAACTGCGAATGCGCCGTCAGGTGAAAGCAACTTAGACAGCCCCATTTTCCACATGGATGCATTTCACAATGAATGCATTTCACAAGCAACAATCTGAGCATGCAACAGCTGGGACAATCTCCAAGCTGTTCCTTGGCAAACTTGGCAAAGGCAATTATCACCACCTATTCTTGGAGCAAGATCCTTAGAACAAGATCCTGAGTCCTCCACATTCCACGAAGTTTCCTAACATGACATGTGGCGGCAGCGTCGCCCTATTGCTAGCACGTCTATTACCTCTGAGAGCTTTGCTGCGTCTCTGCCTTTCCCACAGGGTTTGCGTCGTCGTCCGACTCCTGGAGCGCCACCAGCGTGCGAACGTTCAGAGAAAAAACAATAATGCCAAGCAAGAGAAAACAATAACAGGGGTGCGCAAGCAAGAACAAGGGCAAAAACAGAACACATCCAAAACCCAAACTGCGTACTGCTTTGAACACTGCCCCTACCATGTTGCACGCACAACAGCAGGACCCTGCCGGTCAATCCTCCGAAACAACAACTGAAAAAACTGCAAGAGCAGCAGCATCCACCACCAGCAACGGCAGCAACCGCCACCACCACCACCACCACCACCACCACCAACAACAACAACAACAACACCAACACCAACACCAACACCAACACCAACACCAACACCAACACCAACACCAACACCAACACCAACACCAACACCAACAACACCAACACCAACACCAACACCAACACCAACACCAACACCAACACCAACACCAACACCAACACCAACACCAACAACACCAACAACAACACCACAACAACAACACAACAACACCAACACCAACACCAACACCAACAACACCAACACCAACAACACAACAACAACAACAACAACAACAACAACAACAACAACAACAACAACAACAACAACAACAACAACAACAACAACAACAACAACAACAAACAACAACAACAACAACAACAACAACAACAACAACAACAACAACAACAACAACAACAACAACAACAACACCACAGCAACAAACACCAACAACAAACACCAACACCAACAACAACAACAACAACAACAACAACAACAACAACAACAACAACAACAACAACAACAACAACAACAACAACAACAACAACAACAACAACAACAACAACAGCAGCAGCAGCAGCAACAACAACAAACAACAACAACAAACAACAAACAACAAACAACAAACAACAAACAACAAACAACAAACAACAAACAACAAACAACGAACAACGAACAACGAACAACAAACAACAACCAACAACCAACAACCAACAACCAACAACCAACAACCAACAACCAACAACCACAACAACAACAACAACTACGACAACGACAACGACAACGACAACGACAACGACCACGACCACGACCACGACCACGACCACGACAGCGACCACGACAACGACAACGACAACGACAATGACAACGACGACGATGACGATGACCACCACCACCACCACAACAAGAACAACAACAACAACCAACAACAACAACCAACAACAACCAACAACAACCAACAACAACAACCAACAACAACCAACAACAACCAACAACAACCAACAACAACCAACAACAACAACAACAACAACAACAACAACAACAACAACAACAACAACAACAACAACAAGGCATCCGCGTCTTTCGCCGCCGTGGAAGGCGGCGCGTTTTCCAAGGCCCTCGTTTCTGCAACGCAGAACTGTCAATCGCTTTCTTTTTGTCAAAAGTCCGGTTTTGAAGGAGTACAGGTCATGGCTCAGAGCGCTTCTTGTTTTTCTCTGAGGCAGCAGCGTGTCACTTCGCCCACAATGCCTTTACCAAGCACTTCTCGAAATCGTGGCCCACGCACAACTCATTGCGCCATCTGGCTGGCATGTGCGCAGTGATGAGAGGGCGCGCGTGAGCGAGTGTTCTTACCATCCGGCTGGCATGTGTGCAGTGCTGAGCGGGCGCACGCGAGCGGGTTTTCTTACCATCTGGCTGCATATTTGCAGTGCTGAGCGGGTGCGCGTGAGCGGGTGTTCTTACCATTTGGCTGGCATGTGTGCGGCGCTTATCAGATAATCATTGGCCAGGCATGTGTGCAGCGCTGGGACGATGCGCGTGGGCGGGTGTGCTGAACAAAGGTCGCGAACCTTCCACGGCGGCGAAAGGCACGAATGGGAACAACAACAACAACAACAACAACAACAACAACAACAACAACAACATTCAACCACAACAGCAGCAACATTCAACCACAACAGCAGCAACAATCAACAACAACCAACCAAGCAACCAGCAACCAACAACCAACAACCAAAAACCAACAACCCACAACCACAACAACAAGGTGCCGCGCTTTCGCGGCCCTGCGATCAGTCGGGGCGAAAAGCGCACCTTTTTCCGGGACTGGACTTGGAATATTTTCTGCAAACTTTCGAGACAAGGCAACAAAATCGCACCTCTGGACGGCATTCCAAAGCCGGATCCATATGAGGTTGTGTTGTGTACGGTTTTTGTGGGAAACCTGAAAAGGGCGCCATCGGGGTCGCATATGTCTGTCCTCTTGCGAGTTTTGAGTTTCCATGAGCCCGCTGCGGTCGAGGTGGACGCTATTACCCCGAACACCCCCCCAAAAAAAAATGTGGAAAAGGCTGGTCCTAAGGGGAAAATGACAAATGTTGTTTCATGCCATGTTTCATTTTGTCTTTCTCGGGGTGATGGTTTATTTCGTTTTGAAAGAGGTTAGTACTTTTAGTAGTTTCATCGATTGGGGTGGCGGGTCTTCTGTTTTCCTATTCTTTGTTTATGTCATATTCCAAATCTGATGAGGTTTCAATGTAATATCTTATCTCTTCCTGTGTTGTTTGCTGTTTGTATTCTTTTGTTGTTTCTTCAGTCTTTGGTGGCTTTGGATTCTTAACATTGTTGATGTGTTTGTCTGTTCTTTCGTGTTTTGCTTTCTGACTAAGTGAGACCATACATCTACAGTATTGACATTCAATTTTTCGTAGGTTGTATTCTTTACTGCATTCTTTCTGGTATTGCTGTTTGTGTTCTTTGTTGTTGTCATAATATTCCTTCGCTTTTTGGCTAAGTGTTTCTTTATTTCTTTCTCTGTATCTCTAAGACATATATTACATTGTTTCCTTTCTTCTTTGAACATTTCTAGAGGTTGAAAGACTTTACATTTTGAACACTGCTTTTTGTCAGTCATATATCCTTAATTATTAAGTGGTCTAGTCTTTAAATTTATTCTGGGGTATTCATAGATTAAAAGTTCACTATAATTATAACATGTAAGAATATACATGATATGATTATGGTTTAGTTTTGAATTATACAGATTCATCAACAATTAGCTTAAACTTTATGCTTTTGACTCCTCCAAACTCCGTTCTACTTCTTTCTTCATCAATACAACTGTTTATTTCTTGATACGACGCCATCAGTACTTCAGATAAATTATCTATGGTTACATTTTCTACAACATCATCACTATGAGAAAAGAACGTAAAGTTCTAGAATCATCGTCTTGATGATTTTTAACAAATAAACATACATCAACTATTAAAATTACTTCATAACCTTCACCAGTTTCAAGGTCATCTAACAAACAATCTAAGTTTTCATTTTCATTAAAAACTATATCTTCGATGCTTTTAATGCTTAAAGGTATATTTCTTGAAATGTAATTCTTAATTATGTGTCTCTTGAATTCATCACCACCTACAACAGTGCAGTGCTTTGTCTTTCTTTTTGTTTCAGTTCTGTTAAATTTATATCGCTGTTGTATTCTCTTTAATGTCTTAATATGGTTATGTTTTATATTCAAATACTCAGGTTCCCCTAATTTATATGAAACTATATTTTTCAATATATCAACAGGTAAGTTAGTCCAATTCTCACTCATTGTCTCTTATTATATTATATTATTTTTTCTTTAAGTAGTTTTTAGCTGGGGGTTTCAGGTTTCATTTAAATGTAGTGTTAGATTATAAGACTTTGTTGTAATCATATTATAGTTATAGAATAATATGAATAAACAAATTTTCAGTGTTTCCAGCCTCCTATGCTGTTCCAAGAACTGCTTAAGATGTTTCTGATATTATACCAGATTAAGTTAACGTCATAATCTTTCATTGGTGCTCTTTGTTGTATTAAATAACGCAACACTGATATCAAAGTATAATAAGTACAATGCATTGTTGTCATTCCTCCTCTTTCATTAATACTATTACCATTATGATTAACGAGCTCTTCTTTCATTATGTTTTCGTAAATCTCTTTTATCCATTGATGATTTTGTTCTCCATACTCGGCGAACATATCTAGATATATATCTTCCATTGTTTTATCGTTTTTAATTATTTCAATGACTTGTTACGATGGATAGGGATTATCCTTAATGAAACTCAATATTATTTTTCTATCCTGTTCCAGCTCTTTTTCTGTCACTCCTATCATTGGCATTTCACTTCTGAATATTATAAGTTAATATTTATTTAAGTTATTTTATGTTAAGGGGTGGGGAGTTTATGTTGATAAAAACTGTTTTCTAACAAATAATATAATGGCAAGATTAACGAAAGACCAAATAATCAGCAACATCTATTATGACTTAGACGAGGGTTTCGGAAGCACACAAGCAACACACAAGAAGGCAAAGGAAGAAGACCCAACGATAACATTAGAAGATGTAAAAACCTTCTTGAAGAAACAACCAAATAAACAAATCAAAAACTATAGAGGCACTAATTCCTATACCGCTCCATTTGCTAGGTATGAATATCAAATCGACATAATGCATATGTCACCTTTAGCTAAAGACAAGAACGTTCCACAGTATGCTTTAGTTGTGATTGACATCTTCAGTAAATTAGCAGATGTAATACCAATGGATGAAAGAGACGGAGAGCACGTTTTGAAGGCGCTTAGAGCAAGTTTTAAAAAGATGGGTTATCCGATGTCTGTGTATTCTGATGATGATGGAGCGTTTGCAACCAAAAACCAAGTGCAGGATTTCTTCAACAGCGAGGGCATCAAACACATAATATCGAAGACACACGCAAATGTAGCCGAACGTTTTATTAGGACAATGAAAAACAAAATTCATGATAGAGCTAGGTTTAATAATATGAAATGGACCGATGCCTTAACACCAGCATTGAAACAGTATAACAGCACATTACACTCGTCAACAAGGATGACACCAACCGAAGCACACAAGGACGACAATGAAATAAATGTAAAAGTCAATCTGAAACTACGAGAAAAGAACAAAAGAAAATATCCCAAAATACAGGAGAACGATAAGGT